TTAATGTAGACTCCTTTTTTTCTTAATCGATTTTTTTGATTAACCTGCGCTCTTTGTTTTCTTCTTGTATGCATACAATGCGGCTTGCCTCGACTTACCCACTTCTTATTGTTATGTTTATTTCTTAAGTATTGTCTATAATAAATCTTCTCTCTCTTAAAAAAAAACACCTATAATTAAAATAACTTTTTTCATGAGTATTTTCTTCTTTTAAAAATTTTCGTACTCGAGTACTTTTCAGAAAATACTCGTACTCGTACTCATACTCGAGAATCTGCGTACTCACCCATCTCTGTATGAGTAGTTGCAGAAATCGCTATTTACACGTAGATAAAGTTAGCACCAGATTCGAATATTTTCGCCAATTCAGACGGACCATACTACTTTGTCCACGAGAATCTTGCTTTTCTACAGGAAGTTTCAGAATTACCGCGAGAATTTTAATCTCTTGCACGAGAATTCTGCTTCATGCGCAGGAATTCAGCCTGACCATACTGCTATCTCCACGAGAATCTTGCTTTTCTACCGGAGTTTTGAGAATTACCGCGTGAATTTTAATCTCTTCCACGAGAATTCTGCTTCTTGGCAGGAATTCAGACTGACCATACCGCTTTTTTCACGAGAATTTTACTTTTCTACAGGAGTTTTGAGAATTACCTCGAGAATTTTAGTCTCTTCCACGAGAATTCTGCTTCATGCGCAGGAATTCAGGCTGACCCTACTACTTTCTCCACGAGAATCTTGCTTTTCTACAGGAATTTTTAGAATTACCGCGAGAATTCTGCTTCTTGCCCAGGAATTCAGACTGACCATACCGCTTTTTTCACGACAATTTTACTTTTCTACAGGAGTTTTGAGAATTACCACGAGAATTTTAGTCTCTTCCACGAGAATTCTGCTTCATGCGCAGGAATTCAGACTGACCATACTACTTTCTCCACGAGAATTTTACTTTTCTACAGGAATTTTTAGTTTTACCGTACGAAATTTGTTTTTTTGTGTGTGAAATTTAAGAGGTTAGAACGTGGGTCTCGGTGAGAATTGTAGGTTTTCAAAAGAATTTCAGTTCTTCGAAGACGAATGTTATTTCCCATCACGAGTATTTTACTCTGGTACTCTGTTAGACAAGTGTTTTACTCGTACCAGAAGAGAGCACTTCGATCATAGTCTTTCACGGTAAATTCAATCATTCCGACAGAACTTTTCGCCCTTCGAGCAGGACTGAGGGTCCATGTCCTTGCGAATTTTCTTTTTTCCATAAGAGTGTTACTTCACGAGAAGTTTATTGCGACCGACGAGGAATTTGAGAGCGCTCAAACCAAGCAGCCAACAATTTACGACCAGGAGCATAATGTTGTTTTCTAGGTCACGCTCATGGGGGGGGGGGGGGGGGGGGGGGGGGGCGGCCGGGGGGCGCGGGGCGGGGGGGGGGGGGGGGGGGGGGGGGGGGGGGGGGGGGGGGGGGGGGGGGGGGGGTGGTGGGGGGGGGGGGGGGGGGNCACCCCCGCCGTCTTTTGCGCGCCCCCCCGGCAATTGCCCCCCGCCCACCACACCCCCCCAAAATTTACCCCCCCCCGCAAATCTTGTGTTTGGCCGCCCCCCCCCCCCCCCCCCCCCCCCCCCCACACACTGCATCAATCTGCAGCATCTTGGCGTGCTAGTGTCGTGTAGTCTACACGGTGAAGTAGGTATAAGTTCTCTTCAAACTAAAATTCCCGTGGACTGCACTAAAATGTATCGAGAATTTCCACGAGAACTCTAGTCTCTGTCATGAGAATTCCGCTTCTCGTACAGGAATTCAGACGGTCCGTTCTGGTTTCTTCACCAGAGTTTTGCTTCTGAACAGGAATTTTGAGAATTTCTACGAGAATTTCATTTTATTTTGTTTACTGAGATATAGCCAGGTTTGTGGTGAAGTTTTTTCGTTTAGCAGTTATTGCCGAAGTCTTTTCGATAGTTGTTGTCGTGTTTTGTTTCAGTATTGCGCGTGTGCAATAGTTGTTTGCACGTGTTTCCGTTTACCTAAAAGGTCTTTTCTTATATTGAAATTGAAGTAATTATTAATTGCTTTCTTCTCTTACCATTGCAGTACTGATCGTGTTCGTTCGTGTACGTGTACGCTCGCAATTTTTTAAATGGAAAATGAATAACAGGTACATTGAGCATTTCTTATGGCCCATTGATGACATGATGTTAGCATATCCCTTCAACCAGCTGAACGTTTGCTCGCATGACTGGGTGTTTACATTGATCAATTGCTGGTTTTTGTCGGGATTCATGTTTGCACGGCTATAAAATACAAAAGTTTTATTACGGTAAGGGTGTACTCGCTGTTTTGATAAATAGAATATGGAAATTGCTCGGAAGATTTAACCAAAATAGTTAGTTGTGGACCTAAAGTTTGACTATGGTTTGTAAATAAGTGAACAACTCACCACCAAGGATCGACATGGTTTTTATAATGCATTCTGTCCAGTGAAAACTGACATTTTTCAAAATAACAACTTTGTGGTGTACGTTTGATTAATGTGCCAAGATTTTTGTAGAAGTATTTTACCAAATGGCATCCATCATCATATATGATGTTTGTTGGTAACGTACGAGAAATTTTTAATAATTTCATAAACACATTAATTATCTCTTTCAATGTCTAGAATATTCAAATAGTCTGTGATAAGGCGAGCCGATTAGTTTTTTTAAAGTGATGTTAATGAGATACTATATAGCAAGACAAAAATGCCTAAGAATAATGAAATATTGCTTGGGCAACCCATCTCTGAACGATAAATTTCACTGAAACCTATAATAATATTACAATTTGTTACCACAGCAATAAGCCCAAAACTTCGGAGACATTTGTCAACATAGGCCGATGATTGCGTTTCAAAGTTCTACGCGATGTTGGCTGATGAAAACTATTTTCTCTTTTGTTTTCCTTGTAAATGTTTCGTCGTTTCGGTGTCGTAACTGCATTTGGTATTGCCTGAGATGATGCTAACGAGTTATTTGCTAGAAAAAGGGATATTTCAGCATACGTGTCATACAAACGTGACGCCGTGCCTTTTTCTTATCACTACTTTTTGCGTTCCTCAACAAGTACAACAGCTAAAAGCTTCATTCTGCCGTCATTTTGAAGACATACCTGATTGAGTTTGACGAACAAAAATGCATTTTTCTTGGGTTTTGTTGCGCCGTTACAAAAGACATACTAACGTTACTAAATGGTGTACTTTGGCATCTCAGTTTACATGTTGCGTATAAGATGTTTACACTTTCTCGAAAGATAACTAAGGGTACCTACCCCCTCTTTTTTGGAAATTTATGGATTTTGAGTTGAGCATAGTCTAATGCAGAGGAAAGTCTGGGCTACAAAATGAGACCACTTCCAGAATTCTACAGCACTCCTTGACAAAATGAGTTTTTGAAGTTTTTCCTTCGTTTTTTATTGTCTTTCCTGTAAGTGAGAAAGGAAATGTGATAAAACAAAAAAAAATCTATCCCTGGGGAATGTCGTATAGTAGTTATGGTAAAATTTTGAAGTCGATCAGATCAAGTTATCGAGGGGTCGTAATGGAACGATATGAAAAACCGACTTTTCTAGAAAAGCCAGGAACCTTGATAGCTAGAGACTTGTGACAAAAACGAAAAGATGCTCAACTGAATTCTTAATTAGTCCTGGGAAGGAGATGGCTTAGTCATTTTTAGTTTATGAGAATATGAATGAGAATATTTCTACAGAAAGCACCTGTTTTTCCCACAGGAGAGAATATTTAACTCGACAGGTTGAATTCTGCCATTTAGTAATATTTTCATACGACAGAATTTAAAAACATTTAAATACTGCTAAAATCGATGAAAAGCTGATAAAGTTTCAATTCCTTTAAAATAGTGTCTGAAATACTAATTTGTGTTTCAAAGCGATTCAGTTTCTAGGAAATTAAATAACAGAGAGATAAATTTTCTGTGTTGTGGAATTGTTTTTAAAGTTTCGCAAACGATTTCAAGGCTAAACAATCTCAAATTTTATAACCTGATAAATTTGTTTGTGAGTTTTCTCGTGGGAACCGTAATTATCACCGGTTTCAGACAAGTCAACATCTGTAATTGGCATTGAAAACTGCATTGAATGCGTTATGTTAAGCACGGATTAGGAAAAAAAATGAGTTGGTTACTGCGTTAAATATCCAAGCCGACTATACTTTTAAAATAAAAAAGAAAACCGGGTAAGTCTTTTGTAGTACTTTAATCCATAGCCAACAGTTAGTTTCGTAAAGCAATCACTTGTGTTATATGGCAAGCAGTTCCTAGAGTTCATGTGGTTGCTATACTTCGAATAATTCCCCCTCCCATAATAGAAGACCATGATGGTCTTCTATTATGGTGAGCAACTGAATTCGATTTTTGCCAAAAGCCGTGGATAAATCACAGGAAAAAATGGTCAGCAGTGGTCTGTTATTAGGCGATGGTCTTCTATTATGGGAAGGGTTTAGTTTCAATAGTTCCTTTTCGTAGTTTGCGGAATTGATAGTTCCTAATTTTTCCACTACTTTCGGCCGCTGAATTTATTTGACATCACTCTTCTCCAGTACATTCCGCAGTGAACTTCAAAGTCTCTTCTGTACTTTTCCCCATCTTGTTAACGTTTTATAGATTCACTGGCGATTCCATAGAATCCTATAACAGAATCACTAATTCTACACATTCTGCATAACATTCCCATCTTAGCCGCTCGCCGATTCCAACTGGAGAAAGTAAATAATTTTAAAAACGATGTCATTAATTGAAGGTATCAGCTCAACGACCAATTGTTTCATGTAGATAAAGCTTACCATCTGTATCGAACATTTCCCCATCAGCATTAATATCCATTTGTGCATCACTATCGTTATCTCTGACATTCTGGGTAAGATCGATTTCCTCATCTACCAATTCTTGCCAGTTTGTTTGCTTCGAACTAAAAAAATTGAAAAGAGGTCACTTAAAAGCCTTTTTACCAGTGTTTATTTCAACAAAATACCACGTGGTAAGGCTGCGGATGGTGGAATTTGTTGTGTTTGAGCTGGCTGATGCTCATAACAAAACTGACTTTTAAATGCAGGTGTGTGAGAACATCCAACAGGAATAGATTCAAATTCGTCTGTTTTAATACATATATTTTTCAGTTTGCAGATTCTACGACGAAACTTCTGGTGTCCGTCAATAACGGCAGCAACGGAACATAATGCTTTGCATGGTTTAAACACTTGATATTGTGACCAAAAAAAAACGAATTCCTGATAGCAATGTTCAAACTGTTCATGCATAAAATCATCGGATGTTTTGAAATCAATCGCTGATGGTAATTCAACACTTTCGTGTCCCATGAAAAATTTGAATTTTATCAGTTCATAAAAAAAAAAGTGCTGCATTAGACGTCGACGATCTATTTTGTCATGGCCACTAGCATCGTTCGTCGTTGTTGTCTGAAATGCTTGTAAGTTAAATCCATCTGCAAATTTTTCGAGCGATGATTTGGTTGAAATAACACCACATTCTAACGTTAATAACAATGCCTTTTTATATGCAAAATTTCCTCCAAGATACATATAGTCAGTCTAAAACAATTAAACAGAGTCAATATAGCTTTTTCAGCTCAAAGTTCTTTTCTAGTTGTTAGCTTTAGAAGACTGATATGAGAAGTCTTTCACGATAACTTTGAATGGTTTCTGGGTTTTTAGGATAGCATAGACAAAACAATGATTTATTTTAGAAACCAAAAGAAAATTAGAAGTTAGTAGGGCTCTGAATACTCGTTCTATTCGGATCAGGTAGGGTTTAATATGCACTTATGTGCTGCGGTCTCCTGTTTATTTAGACATTTAAATCATAGGCTCTTAGAATCACAGAATAATCTACGTTTCGAAAACTGTTCGGAGTGATAATCAACAAATCATTTCTTTTAATGAAATTTGGGTAAATTTCATTTGGTTCTTCGTTTTTCATTTTCGTTTTTGAATGTGCACACGTCAAAAAATGCAGTGTAGCATTCTCGGTTTTTCCGGTTGCACTAAAAACTGTTATCTGTTTCGAGGTTGTTGATGATACCAGATTTTTTTTACAAATTGGACAAACCTAAAATTCCAGCAGTTATATGAAGACAGAAGGACAATAAAAAAGTTCTTGGCATCTTCCAAAGGATCCGTAGATATTTTATTGAAAACAGTTTTCTTCAGGTGACCAATTTTTCATGTGGCTGGTTTGCATAGCACATCCAGTTACATAATCGCACAAATTTTAGCATTAACGAATAAGTTTTGAAAGGGTTGTGAATTAGTTCAGTCGAAATTGACTGAGAAAATGTAAACATCAAATCTTTCAAAATAAGAAGTTTCTAACTTCGAACTCACCCGATGAGTTTAAAAATGTCTTAACGTACTTGACATGCCACTCTCTACCAATCAGGCAGGTTAAAAACCTGAAGCTGGACTTTTCTAGGCCTGGACTCTAACGATAGGTATAACTATCTAGCGATATCAGATTTGGAATTAGCACGAACAATTGGAATTAGCACGAAAATAATTTTTTTCAATAAAATAATTGGGATAGACACTTAGAGTTTCCACATTAGTAAGATAATTCAGCTTCTCAATAAAGGTTACAATATACAACCAAGTAAAAAGAATTGAATAACTCACATCTTGGAATGGCGTTAATTGAATATAATTATATTTATTACATCTACCATTCAATAATATGTTATTCGGATTACTACTATAACTTTCCAGTGTTTCTTGAACATCAGTATTTGAGTTTAGTTTTGGCAGCAGTGGGTTTTGTAATAGTGACAAAACAAATGATAGTTCTTGAGCTTTGTAATTTGTATTGAATTTCTAATTTATTATAAAGCAAATATGATCCATAAACAAGTATAAATTTTCATCTAAGCACAAAAAGAATATATTTCAAAGAAAAATAGACGCAGCTATTAAAGAAAAGTCTTTTCACCATTTAATTTTTACTAGCAAAAAAATAAAGATCTTGGATAACAGGGGACCATATTTTTATTCTTTTTAGCTGGAAAATCGTTCGTCAGTCCTACTAGAAATCTTTTAAGAGAACTAATTATGATCATTTTGTCTGGTTTTAAAATCGATTAGTTCCTCATCAAACTTGTTATTTAGATGCTTCCCAAGATGTTTCTGAAAAGAAGTCTGTATTTTTTGCTTCATCCTCAATTTGTGCAATATATATGCAGCACAATACTACTTACTATTTTGGTTTGAATTTGTATTTCCACCATTTTTACGTTTTTTTCTTTCATTTTCATTATTATTGAGTAACGATAGTTCTAGAAAAAGAAAATTTCAATAATTTTTTGATAAAAGAGGCATTTTGGATCAAGAGACTGTACCATCTTCAGCCTTATTATTCTGATTATCACTTTGAAGTTTTTCTTTCTCATTTTCTGGCAATAAAACTAGAAGAAAAGCAGATACAGAAAATATTTTTCTACCAGTCCACTGTATTAGAAACATCATTTACACTACCGCCTACCAACATTTGTTAATGGACTTCTCATTGCTGTTGGAACATTTTTCTCAAGAATAGTTGTCATTGATGATTTTTTAATCCTTTGCTAGCAATTGCATTCCATTGTTCCTGTTTAAATTCTGACATATCTTGTTGAATTACTTTGGAATACAAACCAGATGTTATTTTTCTGTATAATTCTTGTTTTATTTTAATTTTTTCACTAAAAAAATTCAATCTTGTACATGCTTGTTTAAAAGATGAATAATTAACGCTGTATTCATGCAATTTCTTTTCAAAATCAATTATTTCTGATATTGTTTCATTCTCAGATGGTAATTGTTTAATGTATAATTTCACCGATTTGACACCGTTATGACCACCGAGTGGATAAACAAGTAAAAGACCATTTATAATCAACTGATTCAATGCTTGTTCTAAATAATTATTGTTTCGCTTTAAATACGGTTCTTGATATAAATGAGTTGTCGTAAAAACAACGCTATCAAACAGCAATATTTCACGATATACTCTTGCCATTCTTTCTTCATTTGATGCTTGACTTGTCATTGAACTGGATGTTTGACTGTTAGCTTCTGTTATTGTTGAAGGCTTTTGTGCTGCATTAGGTTTACGTTCTGTATTAAACAGAAGTTTATATTGTTCCAAATTTTTTTCGATAAAATAAATCGAAGCATTAACTACAGAAGTATTAACCATCAAAAATTCATCAGAATTACATTTGGACATTGGTGTGATCGTTGTTGATAACGCATTATTAATTTTGTTACCATAATTAATATCAATCAATAGTTTTAGTTTTTCAATAAATTCTTTAATTGTGGTTTGTTTCAATTCAAACGTTCCGTTTTCTTCATGGTATACTTGCAACACATCAAACGCACATTCAATAATTGTCAATGATGATATTTGTCTTAACAAATGACTAGGTGTCTTAGTTAGACGACATGAATAAGCTGAAAAAACAGTGTAAGTTCACCTTACCAACAGTTTTTTCATTGTTGGATTGTTAATGGATTTTCGTAAATTTAGGTACATTGAAATAATTCTTTTTCTAATTTTGAAGCTTTCGTACGTATTAGTCTCAAATATTTTTTGTCAAACAGATTTTGACAAAAGCAGAAATACATTTGGAATTTCTGCTTTTTGCAGTAATTTTTTTTTGGAAGTTTGACAATTATTTCGCCAAGAAAAAATGATTAACCGACGTTTGAGCGACTCCCTCAGTCTCCTCCATCCATTGAAAACGTTCCGAGAAAAAAAACAGTCCGGAAAATATCTTAATACAACCTGTTCCATAACAGACTATTACGTTAAAAGCGTAAGCGAAGGCTTTGAACGTGAGAAAATCTTATATGAATACTTCGATGTATCGTATATCACTCAAGATGGATCTCGAATAAAAAGTAATCTCAAAACAAAGATCCAACAACCCCGACGAGAGGGGGTAAGCTCTGCTAGTATCTTCTTCCCGGCGCCTCTACAAACTCTTTTCGTCCAGTTTGTTTTTAGCACATGCGACGAGTAGCACCTTTAATCAGAATTCTAAGCGGGTGCTTCACCGTAAAGTTGTGAAAACTTTTACTAAGTGCTTCGAATGACTCGTTCCTATCTCAAACGCAATAGCACCGACTGCTAATTTTAGAAAGGGGTCCCAATGTAGTTTTTTAGGAAGTCCAAAAGAAAGAGAGCATCCTTAAAATGGAAAGATGGTTGCTCTTTTTCGCTTCATTTTCCACGTTCAATCGTTCGATTTTTCAAAATTGTGCTTCTTTTAGGAAGGTCCATGCTATTATGACAAGACTAAACAAACAAACATCGAACAAAGTTCGATGGACTGAGACAAGTTATACTGGTGTAGATGTAGTCGTTACGACATTTAGAATCTTTGAATGGGTTAAAAATACAGTTATTTGGGTTTTCATATCAATTTTAATCATAGTAATTGCCATCGGCTGGGCTAATTATTGCAAGCATAAAGATGAACAAGGTACTGATCAAACGAATGAAAATACTTCGAATCGGGAAGCTGCAGCAGAACAAGCGCTTATTTCACCTGTACCTCCAGATGTTGGCATCATCCCTTCATCAAACTCACCGTTAAATCCACAGTCGCATCAGTTGACTCGGACTTCATATTCAACAACAACAGTGCACTTTCTTTACCTGGCTATCGTATTCAATAGAGACTTTGATCTTAGCTACTGATTTGTCTAAGCACAACTCTGTGGCTAAGGATGATCAGGTTGCAGTTTTTTTGGGACCAATGTAACACCATCAAAAACTTGTAATGTGTGCTACACAAGTTATAGCTCGATCTCGTGTCTATCGGATCACGAATAAGTAGCAACAAAAATGTTTTCTCTGTATGCAATTACGACAGAGAAATCTTGTCGAAGGCTGTTTAAGGGCACCCCACCCCTTCAGTCGACCAAAAAATGTCCTCGATCGGAGTTGAGTTTGACACATCGTTAAGTAGGGCCAAGTGTCCTCTATAAAACAATATGTCGAACAGCCCAAACGGATGTTCTCTCGAAAAGTTATATAACTTTTACGAAAAGACCCGAAAACTGCATGGTATAGCTAAAAAATTGAAAATGTTGTAGAGGAAACGGAAGAGAGAGCAAAGTCTCCTGAATCGAACACGATAAACCGCAGCCTCAGGTGACATCAGGAACCAGAGTTAGAGTTGTTTTAACCCTTTACCCCCTCTTGGTCACTGGAGTGACCATTTGTAGAACAATTGCAGAAACTAAAGGAAATATCGGATTCAAAAACCATAAGAATCTTTTTTGTAGCAAACTTCATGGGCAATTGCTTGGTAAAAAGAACATTTCTCTTCATTGCTTCGTTACACAAATATCGGGTCTACAAAATTAATAATTTGAAAAACGAAAAAAATCGAAAATTTTGAAACAAAATGTTCTCTACTCGTAGCCAACAGAGATCTTGTGAAATTGCTGTGTGATATTAGTTGATGAAGAAGCCCTCTGGTGAATTAAATATGTTTCGAAAGTTTC